ATTTCAATCATCTTTACGAAACAGTGGAAAACAAATATTGAAAAAATTCTTAAGAGCACAGAAATATAGGGGAAGTCATTTAGAAATAATTTAATTTATTTTTTTTATAACCCAAATAATAAATACCGAATGTTCCTTTTTAGTTTTGATAATTACTTAGCTCTATTTTAAAAGAATAATTAAATAGCAATTTTGGGGGAGAAAATATTCACTGAAAAGAGAAGATTGTAAAATATTTACAAAAAAATTCCTTTAACTGAGTAAAGAAGTAATTTAATACAGAAAAGTATCCCCCCCCTTTTTTACCTGCTTATTGTTTTGTTCGGTAGTTTGTTTTTGTTTTTAAGCTTACAAATACTTTAGTTCTTTATAGAAAACTTTTGTATTGAAAGGATATATTTTCAATATCGTCTCGTAAAAATCACAAACATGCGGAAGGAGCCGATTCCTTGTGTGTTGTAGTAGCACAACAAACAAACAAACAAAAAGGTAGTTATAGATTATTACTACGTGTTTAAAATCTGGTATACAAAAAAATGCGATGAAGCTTATAAATTATTATCCCATATAGTGTTAAGGCAGCAGCAAAACAAACACATTATTGCCAATATTGAAATTACAAAACACCGTATTTTATTGCACTAGTAATCTTTACTAAAATTTAAAAATGTTGAAATACTAAAAAGAGGAGGGAAACAAAAATAGTGCATTTTTAAGTTATTTTACAAAAATTACCCGAAATAAATTTAAATTGACAGTATTTCAATAATAACCTTTTATGTTGTCTATCGTTGACTAAAAAATTCAAGGTGAATAAAACAAAAAAAAAAAATCAAATTTAAATAGAAAACATTCTTTCGGATTTGTAGTAAGTCGATAATTCTTTAAAAATTGTGATCACAATTTAAAAAAAAAAAAAAAAAAAAAAAGGGGCTTTCTTTACTTTGTGACATGCGAGACGAGGGTTCGGGCAGTTTTTGTTTGTTTTTCTTTATTTAATCTTTTATAATTCAAAACTGGCAACAATACGGCTTGTCAGTTTAATAATCTGTTGCTACTTACGAACGACACGATTTTTTTTTACCCTTACCTACCCTACAGGTAAAAATCGGGACAAAAAAAAAAAATTGATAAAAATAAAATGCTTAAAAAACCGACTAGTTGGTAACTGAAGTTGTATTTTTAAAAAGGGCCATATTAATAGAAAGAAAGAAAAACGTTTAAACTTTATTGAGTCAAGATCGGAAGTAATTATTGTCAAAAGTGGCTTCAAGCAAACAAACTACAGAAAAATTTGCCCGGGAAAAGCCGTTTGGTTTTCCAATATGTTCATTCTTCTATGATCAAATATTTCTAATGTTTCTGTTTCTCCGTGCATTTTCATGCCTTCTGTTTAATTTTTTTTTTTTTATAGTTTTACTTTTGGCATAATCGGAAAAAATAAGTTTTTTTTCTTTTTTTTTTTTACATATCCGTGGGGGGGGTGATATAAAAAAAAAAAAAAAAATTCTCAGTCTGATCAAAAAGAAATTTTTGAAAGTAAATATAAATAAATAACAGTTGTAAGTGGGTCGGACCGAGAACTTTTTAGTTGCTGTCGTCTAATTTAAGGGGTCAGTTAATTTACGAAGTTTTTTTTTTTTTTTTTTTAAATAGGATTCGCAATATGAAATCGTACAATTAATAAATGTCTATCTGAGAACGACAATTGTCATACGACTAACTAAACATGACAATTGAAAGTTGAAAGAGACGTAGTGACACCTATTGGATACCAAAAGGAAAAAAAAAAAAAAAAAATTAAAAACGTGACTAACACTTAAAAGTACATAGTCAACAAGAAGAGGAAGAATTTAAACGATCTTTCTTTAACAACAATCAATACTGCTGCTACAATTTTCAGATGTGGAGACTTAAAAAAAGAAAATAATACACCACGGGATTTTCTTCTTTTTTTACCTACATAAAATAAAAACGTAACTTTTTTTTTTATTTTTATAGATTTTTCCTAAAAAAAAAAGCCAGAGACATAAGAGATGACAGAGTGAATCTAAGAAGGAATTAATATTGCTTAGCAGTTTTCAATAAAAGAACACGAAGGTGTCATTTTTCTTAGTCTTTCTCTGCTATGAACCACTAAAGATGTGATAGACTGACTGCATGGTGTTTAGGGTGTAAAGTGGTAATCAGTCGTACTCAATTAGCAGGAAATAGCTATTTCGAGAAAATGTCCTTAAGAAAACCCTAAGAATTAAAAAAAATGGCTTGATGTGTGGTCGGTAAGTAAGTAGTGAAAATACAATCAATATTTGAACAATAATAAATATATTCTCGTTCAAAAACCGGTGTTTTACAGATTAAAATGCTAAACCTGTTTTTTGAAGTATATACGACTTATTTCACTTATTCTTAGATGGATTTGGTCTTATTTTTAAGAAGAAATAATCCTAAGTGTGCATATTAGCGACGAATATCTTTGAATATACGATACAAAATAAAGATTACAAATCTGAAAAACAATTTTCTTAGTGTAGGCGATCTTTTAATCCATGAAAATAGAAACGTAAATAAATATTTAAGGATTTCTTTAATATCTTAATTAAAATTCATCTTGGAAAAATGAAAGCATTGGTGAAAAAAAATGATTTTTAATTTAAAAATTGTTTTTCTCAATGTTAAACAATGATTAGGATTTTTTTTTAATGTCTAACTTACCACCTGTTAAAAGTCAAGCCAACGTGAAAGGAAAAAAAAAAAAAGGTTTATCTTACAAGGAAACAAGCAAAGAGAGAATATCTTTTTACAACTCAAACAATACAAAAGTTGGTATTTATTGATCTTCTTATTCGACTGACAACCTCAACATTAAGGAGGAGGGGAAGAGAGGGAGAGATACTCTTTCCCCACCCTAGAGTCAAAAAAAAAAAAAAAAAAAAATTCAGATAGCCACGGATTGAGATTTTTTTTTTTTTTTTATAAGACATTTTCTCTTTTCTGGAAATATATATTTTAAATTTACACTTAATGCACTCCAGGTTACAATAAAAGTTCATTTTTATTATTAATCTTTATTTTTTAGTCAGTGCAACTAGCAATTATTTCACTCAGCTTTTGAATTATTTCTTGTTTTGTTTGTTTTTTTTAAGATGAAGATAACAAAAAAAAAAAAAAAAAAACAACCTTCAGATTTGTTTTTAAAGTTAAAATAAAAAATATAAAATAAATTGAATAATTAGATCTTTAAAATTCAAGCTTTTATTGGTTTTAAAAAAAATAAACTTTAAATTTTAAAAATAAAATCAACCAGTTTTGAATTTTTATATTTAGATATCGACTCTTGTAATTAAAATTTAATTTAAGTAAGTGAATAATTTGTTCATGGTTACTATCATCAAAATATGAGCCAGGTAAAATAAAATCTTACTTGAACACAAAATTAGGATTTTTTAAAAATTTTTCAATGAAAAATAAAACCGAACAAAAATCATAATTTAAAATTTTAAAGTGTCACATTTTATTTTTTTTTTTTTTGACAAATCAAAATGTGTGGGTTGGAGAAAGAGTTTTTTTCTTTTAGGCATGAACGTTTCGACAGATTAACAGGTATTCGTCAGTAAAGTGTGAGTGAACCACAGGAATCAAGGTGTCTTGGAGATTACTACAACAACAAATCTGAATAATTAAAACAAGTGTATCTAAAAAACCTTTTTCTTCGAAAAGAAAACATCTTCTGCAGCACTAAAAAGTCATCATCAGCAAAAAAAAAAAAAAAAAAAAAAAAAATAGAAAATTGAATTAAAAAAAAAATGTAAATTTTTAAATATATTTTCCACCTTTCTTTACCGTGGACATTCATTGTTTATTTTTATTTCAAAATAAAAGGAAATAAGAAAGAGTTGATGGGAGTTGAAAGGAATTTTTAGTTCAAAATAAATATTTCATTTACTTACTAAGATTAAATTAAAAGAAAAAAAGAGAACAAGACCAAACAAGGAAGATTGTGTTGCGTCAATTTTCTAATAAATTTAACCTCCCTGGTGGGTGAGCATTTTTAAACCTTGATTAATAATCGTCACTAATCTGAACCCACCTTTTTGTTTTTTAAACCATTTTTGTTTGAGTAAAAAGCGAATAAAATAAACACACAGATGTGCACAAGTCTTTCTCACGCAACAAATTGCGAACAACTACGACGTTTCAAGCAAGAAACACGCTATCGTCAGTGGATTACAAAACACGGAAAGGTTGGTGTATAATAGAAAAAATATTTTTTAAGCATTTTATTCTGTTTATGAACGAGGTTTTATTTTAATAAGCTAAAACACCAGACCAGAAACCAAATAAAAATCTTAACTAATTTTAAAATATTTTTTTAAACGTTATTCCATTAACGTTTGATTAACAATGCTACATACACTCAGCTGAAAAGACGGTGGAATAGAATAAAATAAGCTAATAAGCACATTCCGAAATGCATATCCACATAAAACATCATATCTACATGGAAAATAAACTGATCCCTAGTTAGTATTTTCTTTTAATAGTTTCAGTAAATTTCGCCGAAATGGATGACAACACGTTGTCGTTATAGAAGTAAATTGGGGTGGGGTAAAATAGGTCGATGGTACAAATGCATAAAATGATTGTTTTATTGTGTAGAACTAAGTATCTATAGTAAACACATTAGAATGAAGAATTAACATGAAAGAAAAGTGAGGGTGAAAAACGTGAAAGAAACAAAACAAAAACAAACCAAAAGAGTGGTAGGGGGATAAAAGCGAAATATCTGTGTGTAGTACAACTACTACGACATGTTGTTAAATGTTTGTAATGGAACGAGCATTTTGTCGGGTACCATACCTGCCAATTGTTGTACCCTAGCCAAGTCCTGGCGGCTGCGAGCCAGCCTCCTCCTCACCAGTAAATATCCCGTGTAACACGTTACCAGGAAATAGGCGCCGAGTACAGAGTAAACAACTTTCCGGAACGACACCCTCATCATGCCTCCATGGCCATCGCCGCCATTGCCCCGAGATGGAATTGTCGTCTGCTTCCTTTTAACCCCAAAACACACAATGTTTGCCACGAATGACTCTCGTTCATACGAGGTCTTTAATTTTTTTTGTATTTTTTTTTACTTGTTAGTAATAACTTCCTTGGGAAAATTCGAACAGAATAAGAAACACCAATATCAATAATAATAACAATTGTTATTAATATTGTTTTTCTGCTTTTTTTTCACGTAATTTTAGTTCCGATGAGGTCTTCTTTAAAAAAAAAAATTATTAAATTGGTTTTTTATATATGTTTTTCAAGCTCGATTTTATGCAAAGATGCAGTGATATTTATATTAATAATATTCATTGAAAAATTATTGTAGCGCTTATGTTCCCAATCGCTTAATATCGGACAAACAAATCATTTTCTTTTGCGAAATACATTTTTTCTTCAGGTGATAACTTTTCAAAAACAATTACTTCAAGTTACAAAATATCAATATTATTGAATTACTTACTGCCCTTAAGGCTTAAAATAAAATTTTAAAAAAAATTATATCCGTAAAAGTCCTTTCACGATTTTTTTTTTTTTTTTTTTTTTTTGCCGGCGGTAACTTTCTCGTTGGTCAAATTTACCACGCTTCAACAGTTCGAAATCAAATAATAAACAAAATCAATTATTACCACTAAATTTAAATTAGAAAACTGATAATGTTCATAATAATGGTGATGGCTGTTTTTTAGTCTTCTCTTTTTCGTCCTTAGAACTGTTTGTGTATTATTACTGTTTTCTGTTATCACCTCCCAATATTTTTTTTTCCTTCTAGTTCTTAAAAGAGAAAAGAGCTGCTTGCCAGGCCTTTCTCTTACTTTTGGTAGTGTAAGTTCACATGCATTCGACTTCTTTACTTCCTAACTAGGCAAGCAGGTTGACTGCTGATAGTATGGCACTATGTTACAGCAGGAGCAGCAATACTATTAACAGTTAACCGTAGTAATAATAGTAGCAGTCACTTTTTATGATTACGGACCATTTCCTCCTATCTCTTCTCTCTTTTATATCCCCATGTGTCGTTTATACCTAGAGAAACTGTACCAATATATATATATATATATATATATATATATATATATATATATATACGTAATATTCTGATTGAGGGTTTGGTTGTGAATAAATAAATAAAATAAATATTTGTTACTGCTAGTTCAAGAGCTCCTGATGATAGTGGTGTCTGCTCGCATTGCTTGCCTCCTTTCCTGTTTCTTTTTCGGCTGATCTTTCTTTCCTTCCTTCCTTCCTTCGTTCGGTTTCCACCTTGCTCAATTGGATTTTACTGAAACCTACTTCCATTCAAATTGTTCGTATTTTCTCTCTATCGTCAGCAGCACGCACCGCCTTCTTATCACCTTTTTTATTTATTTATTATTTTTATTTATTTTTATTTTTTTGCTTGTCACTCTGTTGTCCGGGCAGGGTTTTTCCCACCTTCCCGCCTTCCAAACCTTTCTTTATCATCAGTCTGTCAATATCTATTTAATTAGTTTGTTCATTCTATCTATCTATCTATCTATCTATCTATCTATCTATCTATCTATCTATCTATCTAATTCTAATATTTATTCAATGCGTTCCAGGCCTCTCTTTCTAATTCTAAACAGAAGCCTGTTCATATCCCTCTCTCTCTCTCTCTCTTTTACATGCATGTGTAATTAGACATAATCAGCCTGTTAGTGTTAATAATGTCTGTCGACTTACCTGTCTATCTATCTATCTATCTATCTATCTATCTATCTATCTATCTATCTATCTATCTATCTATCTAAGCCTGTTTAGTTTATGTCTATCTTTCTTCCAGTTCATCTCTCACTCGCTCGTTGGGTCTTTCTTTACTAGTCTTTATCAACCTGTTGACATCTCTCTCAGTCCATATAATCAACCTGTTCTTCATATCTATCTATCTATCTATCTGTCTGTCTGTTTGTTTGGTGATGTTTTACTGTCTCTCATTTCGGGGATCGAATTGCTAACTGAAACAGGCGCATTCGACTTCTTTTCTTCTCTCCCTCCAACCAGGCGGTGTGTGTTCAAATCCATGTAAAAACAGGGGTCTCCTATTTTTATAATTACAGTGTAACCCGGATATAAGAGAGTTGTCGAAACAGGAGAAGTCTCTTATATCCGGGTTTGGTCTATTTACATTAACACAGGCTCTAATTTGGGACCAGAGAAAATCTCTCTTATATCCGGGTTTCTCTTATATCTGGGTTTCTCTTATATCCGGGTCTCTTATATCCGGGTTACACTGTATTCACAAGTCATACCGGCCTTCCTCCTCACCACTTGAAATATCGGATACAAAACAATCTTTCAACTGTTAAAAAAAAAGAAGTCACTATATTCGGGCACTACTAAAATCAGCCATATAGCTCCTCGGAACTACCTTACGGAAACTACTTGGTGGCTGAAAGAGTTGAGCAGTTGGATCTTTATCCAGTGCATGTTCGAACCTAAAAAATGCCGACATTTTGAATATTTACTCCCATTCGTTTAAAAATAAAATCTATAAAACTTAAATAAAATTGTGCACGAGTATCACTATCAATTGAGGAATTTTTACCTTACGATTTCTCGATGGTTAGAATAGTTGTTTATTTCTGTTGTGCATGTGTAGTTTTATTCTTATTTTATTTTATTTTTTTACTGTTGATCACTCGATGCAGGGCCCAAGAGCCACGCGAGCTAGAGGTTTGCTGAATGATATTGTTGTAAGGGTGTAGGGTAGGAGGAAGAGATGTATATTGTGTAGGATAGGGTTCCAGTTTGAGTTGTAGATTCAAATCAAATGGTCCTTTCCTCGTGTTGAAAGAAAAGTGCTGAACAATCCTCCCAGTCCTCATTGTATTTGTAAAATCTACAATGGTACCTGTTTTTTTTTTGTTTTGTTTTTTTGTTTTTTTTTTCTATCTCATTCTTTTCGTACATATCTATCTCATTATCCCTCTTCGTCTCCCTCTTTCACTCTCTTTATTGATCCCAACTGATACGTTATTAGTCTTTTCTTCTCTTTCACATCTTCACTCGCTACCTACGTTCCCTCCAAACATGATTATTATTATTATTATTATTATTATTATTATTATAATCTATTAAGCTTCCGTCTTCGTTCTTTCAGTTTTTTTAGTCTTTTTTCCAACTATATTTTCTTTAATCCGTTCTTTCTTCATTCATTTTTTTTTTTTTCTTTTTTGCATCGCTTACGCTTTTCAGCCGGGATCAAAGCGCTGTATCTGTTCTCTCCTCCTTATAGATGGGCGAAGGCGCCTGGTTCCGGGGATTTTCATTCTGAGGCCACACCTTCCTCATTGTACTAGGTTTGGTCAGTACTTCAGCGTGTCAGTGGTCACTATGACTGGGCATTTTTGCCCTTAACCCATATGTATATGCGTATGGGCTCTTCACATAGACCTTGTGTCACATCCTGACTTAGTGGGGATGTTAAGTAAATAACGTTTCTTTCCCTCCCATATTTAGTCTTTCTTCTTTCTCTCTTCTCTCTCTTCCTTCCTCTCATTTATAACTTTTACCTATTTTCCTCTCTTTCTTTATCTCTCTTTAACATTTCAATCTATTTCCCTCACCTTGACAATTCCAATATTATTAGGAATGTAATTATTTTTTTTAAGGAGGTATTTAAAATCATAGTTTACTCGCGCTTGCAAATATAAAGAAAGAACAATGCTATGCCCCTTCAGGACTTGAATGATCATGATTCTCCACAGCTTCCTTTTAAATATTTGTGAATTGACGTGACTTCTTGGGATAGTGGAGTAGTTTCCTTTCATCACCATTTTGAATCCAGAGTTGTCTTTCAGTAGACTGGCTGCCCACCAAGGCAGTTTGCCATGCTATTTAACCCATAGCCCAAACTGAAAAGACAAGGGGAAAAATTTAAACTCGGTTTGCCAATTCCACTTTCGGCACTGATAACAGTTATGCTACCGGCACACGCTTTGCAAATATAACTTACTTTAAATGCGGTACTGCTTAGTGAGTTAGTTGCAATCTGTTATCGGAGCCTATGAACAGGGTTCGAACCGAAGTAAATTATTTCGTTTTTCAAAACAGTCAAGCTTTCTCCACGAGGAAGACTGACGCATTACAATCTTTCCATCCTTGTTTTGTGAACTAGTGAATTCGATATTCAGTGTTTATTCCACCCCACTTTATGTACTCTTGTGCTAAACTAAGCTAATGTAAATAAAATAATAACCGATTTCGTTATTATTGAATTTTACATTACAATATTTCAGACAGATACGTCGTCAGCCTGGCTCGACCCTGAGGGATAATAATGTCAATGGGGTTTTCTTTATTTTGAAAATTAATATTTCACAAAAAATCGGAGATACTATTTACTTTTATTTTTTTTTAATCATTTCACCCCAAGCAAGACAGTCAAGCCGCTAAAATGCAAGGGGTTACTGGGTGTGAAATAATAAGAAAAAAAAAGAAAAACATTATTAAGGAAAGAGAATAAAAGAACAGAAATTAAAAAGATAACGACTGACATTGATCTTCAAGAGAGAGTTCCACAAACGAGAAGTGCGAGAAAAGAAACTGTTAGCATAGAACTTACGGCTGAATCTAGCCATTTCAACAGTAAAAAGATGAGACCTTGCTGCCCACCTTCTACTACACTTAAATTCGTAAAGTCTTGGTACCAAAGAGGAAAAATCATCAGAACAATTATCATAAAAAATATTTATAGAACAGGAAGAGGGAAGCTGCGTTATTTTTTTTTTTTTTACATCATTTTTTTGTCGTTGTTATCACAACGTTTCGGTCGTTGTGTTCTTCGGCCATCTGCAGGTGCTTGTCGATCCGTGTAACCTTCAGAGAATTTCCAACTGAACCCTTCATTTGACCTACGGGGGTAAGATTGTTATTATTCCTCTGTCAGTGTCTATGGATATGTTGTATTGTTCTTATTTAGCACGTTTAATTATCACTCGCCCTATTTGCACTAAGGCTAAGTCTTCTATATCCAGCCCAAAGATTGAACTTAAATTAACTATACCACAAAATTCACTTCGTCCTGGGTAAGACGATAAACTACATCTAACAGCAAGGCCTCTGATAAGGGGACATTGAGGAGCATGGAACCACCTCTTAATTGCTGGTGTTCCAAGGTCCACCTTGACTCGGGGTGGTAGCACCTGTTAGGGTCCCAGCTATGGGAAAATAGTTAACCCCTAAACTATGAAAGTGTTAAAATAGGTTTTAATACCAGCAATACAGTTTTGTAAAAAATTACCAGCAATAAATTTTTGAAGAAAAAATGTATTACCAGCAATACATTATTGCCAGCAATACTTTTTTGAAAAAAATATTAACAGCAATACATTTTGGGAAAAAATATTACTAGCAATACATTGTTGGAAAAAAATATTACCAGCAATAAAAATGTTGCCGGCATGAAATAACCCATTGAGGTTGATATGCCGTAAAACAAACCAAATAGAATCAATATCAATATATACTGGGATAGATAGATAGATAGATAGATAGATAGATAGATAGATAAAAAATATTACCAGCAATACATTTTTGGAAAAAAAATATTATCAGCAATGAAACTCTTGTCGGCATGAAATAACCCATTGAGGTTGATATGCCATAAACCAAACCAAACCAAACCGAACCGAACCAAATTCACGAACCAGTTTTTTAATCCACGTGACTATAGCCGAGTGGATTCATCTAATTTAGTCTAAATAAGAACAATATGAGATATCCCGAGACCTTTACAGCGGGATGGGCACAATTAAATTAAATAAAGCGTAAAAAAAGAAAAAGAAAATCGCCAGAAACATACATAGGATGTGTAAATGAAGCTTATTCGTTTTTTTTGTTTTTTTTTTGTTTTTTTTGCAACTAGTGAGGTTTTATGGTAGATAGAAAAGTGAGGAAATATAATTGGTTTTATATTTTTTTCCCTTTCTTTGTCTTATTTTATTGAAAAGCAAAGTCACCATTCTCAACTGTTGGGGAGGGGACGACGACATGTCAGATTTGAACCCACCCCCACTACAGCTCAGTGGTCTTTGAAAACGGAGACGCTTCTTGTTAAAGTCAGCCGCAACATGTGATTCGAGTATAGCAAGAATTGAACACGAGGCCCCCTGTGTAAGTAGAAAGAAGCGCTTTTTCCACAATGCTGGATAATCGCATATTATTTTATAAGGAGCAATAGGACTTATACTAAGTTAAAACTTAATTTAAAAAAAAAAATTCTACCCCACTTTTCGGTAAGTATTCCAGTCGAAATATTGGCGATAAACCGACTATCCCACTCCAAGTTAGGAGTGAGGCGGCTCGTTAGCAAGCCAGTAGGAAGAAAACCAAGACCTAACAAAGGGCGGAGGAACTCTCTGAGTTAACGGCCATCTAACTAGAGGTGAAGTCTCCATAAACGACCATGGAGAAGACAACGGGAAACCACTCCACTACCAATCCCAAGACAAATAATCGCTAACAACTCACGGCGTTTAGTGGGTTAAGTCTACGGGAATTAGCTCCTCGCCCGGTAAGGACCGACATGCGCAACAGGTGTCATCTGACCGTCATCCAGTGACTACAAGCATAAACGGCGTAAAAGGGATAAAAGTCCTCGGAACCTATCCATCGCCCGGAAAGGAACGACATGAGCGACAGGTGTCATCTGACCGTCATCCAGTGACTACAAGCATAAACGGCGTAAAAGGGATAAAAGTCCTCGGAACCTATCCCTCGCCCGGAAAGGAACGACATGAGCGACAAGTGTCATCTGACCGTCATCCAGTGACTACAAGCATAAACGGCGTAAAAGGGATAAAAGTCCTCGGAATCTATCCCTCGCCCGGAAAGGAACTGCATGAGCGACAGGTGTCATCTGACCGTCATCCAGTGACTACAAGCATAAACGGCGTAAAAGGGATAAAAGTCCTCGGAACCTATCCCTCGCCCGGAAAGGAACGACATGAGCGACAGGTGTCATCTGACCGTCATCCAGTGACTACAAGCATAAACGGCGTAAAAGGGATAAAAGTCCTCGGAACC